ATATGTATAATTGATCCTTTACTGAAGTGGAAAAAAACACATTTGACATAGAGAGTAAATGGAAACAACTATCAGACTCTGTGGGACTTCATTTAGATAAGTTCTCTTAGCAGCAGGCTGCAACCCAGTGTGCTTTTCTCTTGGGACATGGTATGTTTTCTTAGAAGTTATTAATAGTATGAAGCACTATCAAGTGCTTACTTTCTCACAGCAGTGTTTTATTTATATTCACAACTGTGCAGTCCTTACAACATTGTTTTCCACAGCCTCCACCCCCAAAGAAGTGGTCGCTCTGTGGGCAGATAAAAGCAGAGCAGACGTAACAGCTCACAGCAGGTGCCTTCCCCTTCCGTCACCCCCCTTCCCACAGCACTTCCCAATGAGTACTGAAGCTGGTTCACTATCTGCCACTGACAGCCTTTGGTTGAAAATGAGATTTTATCCTTTATACTGTAACTTCCTAAAATAAGCTGTATTGTTATTTATTGTCATATTAACATAAATTTGCACAGTCTGTCACCTTGACAAAACTTCTATATCAACTCTATGAATAGTCAAATTAGATGGGTAATGCTTTGAACAAGCACGTTTGTCCTCTCAAAGTATTACTCAGAGAGCTCTTCAATAAAGCAGTTACTCAAAAACTGAAGAACAAGTTACCTATCACTTACGTGAAGCAGATTAGCAATGTTCTTCCACGCGTTTATAAGGAACTGTCAAGGCACCTTTTCACTCAGGAGCAAGGTTCTGGCAATCAGCAGAATGTGGCAAAGGGGAGGCTGACTCGAGGCTGCATGCATCCAGGAGGCACCCACTGGTAGTGCACCTTCATTTTAACTTCAGGGCAATGGATTCCGGAACTCAGAAAATGAATGCTATCCAGACAGACAACTCTGAGTGCTGCGACAGAGATAATATATGGAACTATTTAATATATGTATTATGAAACCAAAGATGTAATCTACCTACACTGCTACAGAGTAGGTTTTACAATAAATAGAGGTAAATATGTCATTTCCAGCTTTCTAGCACTGAACACCACAACAAGTGTTATTTTTTTGCAATGCTAACTTTTCTATAAGGTCCAGGCAAACTGTTCACATGAACCTGGTTTTCAAGTACTGTGCTGAATTTTGTGACTCCTGCGGAATTAGGTAAGCAGCCCCTTGTATCACAAATAATTCATTTATTTATGAGAATGATTCTTGCACTATCCATCTCAGAAGAGACCATTAAACCAGCTGCTCAAAGGCATTTTCCTGCTGGGAACTCTTCCTGAACAATGAGGTGGTTTAAAAACTCAGCATCAGAAACTAGCAATGCATGGGACGACAGTGAGCTTCCTGGGAGTACTTTGTCAGAGCTTCAGGGGTCTTGCTGTTGGGTGCAGCACAAGGGCACAAAGATGAACATACAGAGCACACTATGCCTGGATCCCACTTCGGAATTTGAGGGAGGAGCGTGAGAATAAAACATTTTAAAAAGTAGTAAAGACAAAAATCTTACAATTTTGGGAAAAACCTGAACAGAAATGGCAAAGGAAGAACACAGGCCAGTAGATGTGCTGAAGCACTAAACCTCTGTGCAGGCTGCAGCCAGGAGGGCTGGAAGTCTGCAGAGGCATCAACACACACGTTACGCATCTTCAATCAACAGAGGATGAAATTTAATCCAAGACATTTAAAATTTTTCTGTAGCTGGTATAAAGCACAGCTTTCTTATCAATAGCTTTATCACTGTCGTTATTTTCTGTACCTATAAAGGCAATTAATGTAGTTTTTTGTGTACTGCCAAAAAGGAAAAAATCTCACCTATAAATAGAAAAGACGGACAGAGTGTTTCTGAGTATAAGAATGTTTTCTCTTCCTGTGTTAGCTTAATGGGACAGACGCCAATGCTTTTTTATGAATTATGAATGCAGCAGTCTTCTTTCCAAATGAAGATGTTGGAAGTCTGCCATTGGAACGAGGTACTCGCATTACGTACTGCCAGCAAATTTCTGTTTCTTTACTGAAAACTAGATACTAAATCACTTGTCTCTTGACAAACTCACCTATAATGATGTTGCACAGCATATTATCTTCTAAAATAAAACAACAGAATATCAGGATATAAGGAGATTTGAATCTCAATTCTATTAACAGGGAAATTCATGCGCTACAGCCCTGATGTAAATAGAAGTTTGTACACCACCTACCTGCAGCTCCGGCTCCAGGAAGGACTTACAGAGTTCTCCTTCAATAAACCACAGGCAGGGCAGGTAACTGATCACACATTTGTTACTAGTCCTATGTTTTTTTCTATCCTTCTCTTCTTCTTAGCTGCCTTGAACAAGGAAAACCTTTAAAATAACTTTATCAACTTTTTTTTCTTGGAAATCTTGTTTGAGGAAACACTGCTTAGAAACTGCACAGGAGCAGAACTTTGCAGATAAGAACTATTCAACAAACATCTGTTTCATTAAGACTGCAGAGGCGCCACGCAAAGGTTTTTCTTGAGTGACCAAAGTCTCAAGAACACTTCTAAGAGAAGGGAAATTATTAGTCTATGACTAATAGACTAAACTTACATAACGTATTTCTAAACTACAGAGTTCAAATACTCGACAGGAAGAAGGTTCCAAGGAGAGCCAGAGAAGCTGTGCCCCGGTTGCTGACACACAGCAACAAACACCACCACATGACGGCTCTTGTGCTTCTGACAAACCCAAACCAGCCATGGGAAGCATGCTGCATTTAAGCACATGTAAGCATTGCAACATACCATGTATGCCTTCACACTGGGAGTTCTAGCGGCTTTTTTCTGCTGTCATCGTTAGAATGTTACGAGAAGATGCCAAGTGCTCATTGTCGCAGGTCATTTTAACCAGCAACCATTTATATGATTTCCTAATCTGAAACATATATCTCTAATCTCAAGGGGTGGTAGCACAGCTTTCATAGCAGCATCTTGGGGAAAAAAAAAAAACAACTTCTCTTGAATAACATCACTTCCTCCTTTGTTTTCATCTCAGTATCTCAGCATGAGTGTGATTGGAGCACCAATTCAGTCAACTTTGGTGTTCGGCAGGCTTTGTACCCACTAAGATTAATGGTAACACTCTCTACGACATTAATGTGAACAAAATCAGGCTGTGTAAGTGCATTGTTCTTTCCTATCAGGTGAAACATTTCTGCATTCCATTTTCTGCTCTGCATTCTGTGAGTTGATAGCATACTTCCATGATTATATATATATAATATATATCTATAAAGACATAAAGCCAGCCAAATGTTTTAATTGAAAGTATTATAAAAAATTAGAGAAAAGTCAGATAAAACCAGAGATTTTTTATTGCACAAAATAAATTATATAGAAACAATGCAACAAAACAATTCTTATTGTAGGCTGCACAACAGATGTCACAACATGGATATATTTATTGCTTTGAGAAAGGAGCAATTCAGTGCTAGTAAGCAGATTAGTTATACTTCTTGCTCATCTATATTTTTCATAGAATTAATCCAACTGGGCTAGAGGCATCTTGCAGCACATGAGCCATACCAAACTGTAATTTGTTATCAGCAGTTATAAAGGTGCTGTGAACATTCTTGACATTAGCGTGAAGCACTCGATTTAACATTGCTGGTACTGAACCAATAATGGTAGGTAGATCATCAGAAATATTACAGATCAATTATATTTAGTACACAAGATTCCAAAAGGTCCATTTACACAGTTTGCACAAGCTACTGCACTGAAATAAGCCTCGCTAACACATGTGGAGATGCATTTTCAAACAGGCACACGCCACTCCACGTGGTGGAGTAACTGAGAGGAACGGCGGCACTCTGCCAAAATGGAACTTAATGCCAGCATTCTCTTTACCACACTGCAGAACTGCTCACTGTTGCTAACTCAGTTAGAGCCCTCTCTTTTCTTTTTTTCCCCCAATGACCACCACTCAGTTTCTGAGGATTTTAGCACAGATTTAAACAATATTCATTTGGTGAATTAAATTTTGCTGGGTGAAATTTACAGAGCTCTAAAATCCTTTGAACCCAACCTATTTGTCTCTTTAAGAAACAAAAGGTTCCAATCTTGCATTGCTTTCATAGCTCACATGGATTGAAGTTTTTAAATGCTACTTTGCAGAACCTGAGATGTTGACCCCCAGTGAATTCATATATATAAATTACTAAAAATGATAAAACATTCAATATTCAAATGGTAAAACACATTAGAAACTGATCACTGACAGGTCTTTGTGAAGCATGCACTTTAATGAGAGGGTGGCACAACCAAAGTTTGCTGTCTCTACTTATTTCACAACTCCACAAGTTTTTACTCAACTGAGTTCATACCACTGAGTCTACTGCTAACGTAGGCCATTGGATCTAGTACTAGATAGTATTAGATACTGAACAAGCCAAGAATGAAAGGAAACTCAGTGAGGAGGAGAGACATCCGGGCCATTTCAAGTCTTAGCTACAATGAAGGACAAGCAAAGTAACTCCTCCGATGGCTTCCACCACTGGGAAGATCCTGGAGAATCCCACTGAAATTAAATAGATGTGAACTATACACAAACCGTAAACCAACACGCTCGTTGCTCTCTACTAGTACTTTACTAAAATTCCTTGCTTTACTTTCTCTTTTTTAAACTATGTAAATCCCCTGTGCAGAATCAAAACACATTAAATCCACTATGCAGAATTTAAATAGATAAGGATGAAGTTTCAATGGTCCTTACAACACTACAAGAAATTAATTATTCTGAATTTAAGAAAAATACTATTTGTACAGGTGCTCAGATACTTTAGTGATGCAAACATATCCCATGCATGTACCTGCCTGTAGCTTCCTCCAGAGAAGTTTTATTGTCTGGAAGAACTGTACTTCAAATACCATCTGTAAATGTAAATATATTTACATATAAATCTTTGTAGGTTTGATAAAATGCAAATGAATAACCAAATATACCCTAAAAACATCCATTAAACACAAACACCACAAAAAAAAATTGTTAGCATTTTCATAATCATTATGAAGTAGTAATGATATACGGCAGGATGAAGCTAATATCAAAGATGAAGAACAGCACCACCAACCTATGTTTTGCAGTCGGGTTTCTGATCGGACAGAATATGTAATGGCATAGTCAGACACGCTGCATTCCATTAAGGTAAGAAATGCATTTAGCCCAGCTGTACTAACTATACAGCTTCACACGGAAGAAACATTCCATAAATCAACAGAAAACACATCTGAGCACAAAAAATAAAACATATGTAAGTGATTTTCTAAGCAGCATTTTGTATTTTTTTTCCAAAACATTAACATAGATAATGGACCGATTAAATATCTACAAGTGCTTTTCCTTTACAAAAATACATATATTTTTCATAGTAGGATAGACTGTCATTAACAATGACCTGTGTTTTTTCACTTCAATTTGAATGATTTATAAGCTAAGTTTTACAACCACAAAAAGGTTTATTTGTAATATGATGTTACCACTTTTGACAAAAAGCTTAAAACATTTTATATTTTAAAACAAATTAGCAACATAACATCACAATATGTTCTATGAGCTCCTAAGTACTGTGAGGGCTGTAACATTAAAAACTGATAGCTACTGATTAAACGCAAGGAAGCATGAGAACATTATTACTGCTCACCATAGGCTCCTTTCTTATCGTAACTTGGATCACAGCTTATATAAGGACACTTAGGCCCCCATCCCAAAAAAAATCCATTCAGACTAACACTATTCAGCAGCCTGGAACATCCAACTATTCCGGATCTGCATTAATTAAAAATGAAGGAAAAAAAAAAAAAAAAAAAGTTTTTTTCCTCTCAACAGTTAAGTCTGCAATAAGGGAAAAAAAAAAAAAAAAAAAAAAAGAGACACTGCTTCATCACTGCTTCATGCTTACTCTAAGTTTGTATTTGAGGAGAAATGACTATCAGTAAGTATTTAGATCAAAATGTTTCAGACTCAGCTAAATAATTAAATTGCTCTGTTACTTTCCAGTGCAGCTAATCATTATCCTGGAAAAGAAAATGAAGGTATTGAGATTTCTTTATTCTATCTTGCTCTGCACAATAACTGACTTCTTGCTAACCAAAGGTCTCACATTGAGTACAACAATGCCTTTTGCTAAAAAAATACATATAAAAATCTGTAAAACAACCTTAGTATCTTCCCATTATCCTCCAAGTCTGTCCTTTCCACCCTCCAAAATAACACTGAACTACAGTTAGAAAACCCCAAAGTAGCCTGGTGAATATTTTGTGCTTCAGAAGGTTCACAGGGCTGACAGCACACTGAAGTATTTTGTCAGTTCACAGGCCAGGTATAGCTGACACATCAGTAATACAAGCCTTCACACTCCTCTTTTCCAACATTAGTTATACCCACAGAGCCGCCTGCAGTGCGCCAGCTCAACCTGTACACTAATCCCACTTGTGCTGGCTGCTTTGTTCTGGGACTGCTGGGCGTGTGGTGCAGCACATCCCCAGGCAGGGAGCTCCTCTCTGCCAGCCCCAAGGCTAATTCTCACCATTGCACTGCAAGAACGTGGCACTGCCTCACTCACACCAGTTTTTGGGTGGCTTACCTTTGATGTTAAGTAAGTCCCTTGAAACTAGGCAATCAGATTATCCATAAAAATAGTTTATTTCTCTTTTAATTTTTTTTTTTTTTTTAATGAACAAACTAAGTATCTGACGGCAAAGAATAATTTTGAATCAATCAGTAATTTATATTTTTCAGAAAGAAAAGAGCATGTTTCATTTTACTGCATCAAAATTCATGAGACAACAGCAAGAACGTCTATTTACTCAATATGCTATAATACAAAAAACAGTTCGAGGAGTAGAATACCATCAGAAAATACGTGCTTTGCACTTTGATAATAAACATCTTTATTACAACTTCATTTGTAGCACAAATCTCAGTATGTTAACTAGCAGCACAAACGTGTCATTGCAGCAATTTTGTTTATGGTATAGCAATTGTCTTCCACTCACTCTTATGAAAAATGCACAGTAACTGCTCCTATCCATCTCACCCTGTCAACTGCCACATTAGTAACCCTGTCAGAAGTATTTGATAAAAATACATGCAAAATTTACTTCAAAGAAAAGTGTGTGTCATAGTTCAGATAAACATGCAAATTCCAACCAATGCCTCTCTTTGGTTAAAACTAATGTAACTGCAGAAGATTACACTTGCAGACGTTCCAGTACACCTCACCCATCCTGAGCCTACAGAAGGAGGTTCTGGTTCCCTACAAGTAAAACAGGTAGCCAGGACCTTCCCACCAGCCTATAGAGCTCTTCCATTCCACAGTCACATCCCACCACTGCACAGATCTACATCTCTTACAAGAGAATGAAACAACATCCTTACACAGCTGCATTAGCAAGCCACCTGAATTCAGAAGATTTATGGCACATACCTGGGCTGCAAGGATCCCTATTAGAAATCCCTTACTAAATGACCTGTTCTGGAACCTGCTGTTTTTACCTGATCTACAGACAGCATAGTAGTGGGGAAAAAAAAAACTCAACAGGTAGATAAGCTCATGAAGAAAAATGCTACCATTATAAGATAATCATCTAGGGGACACTCCTACAAAAGGATGTTTCAACTGAGGTCTGAAGGCTGGATTTCCCACATGCCATAAAAGTGGTGGTAAGTGAGAAGGTGGAAGCTTTTCACTTTTCTTTTAGTGCTGATCAAAGCTCATATCTTGGAATCCATCCTGGAACATGCTCCAGTAGATGGCAATCCTTCTTCAAACAGGTATCTCTAGCTGAACACCACACAGAAGCATGACCTTGTTCAGACTGGCTATGAAGGATTCAAAGCGCACAACTGTGAAAATCTCACCAAAATCCAGCAGAGACTAACTTAATCCCAAAAGAAAACATGAATTTCTTTGGCATTAAACACTTGTTTTCTCATCATGGTGGCACCTGATTCTTGGTACCTTGTTCTAAGACATACAATGGTGTTCCAGAGTGTCACCTACTGCTTCCAGAGCTAGGAAACGGATGCTCTGGAGCTTTTTTTTGACTTGATTAAAGCGTGTCCATAAACCTTCTATCCTAACAGTCAGCATTTTGGTATCTGTACTGCAAAAGGAGGTCTCTGTCACATACTCTAGGATTGTTTTGCTTTGCTTTCATCTGCAAACTCTTTTCCAAGAAGGTCCCAAGTTCTTCTGAGAATCTCCATTCTCCTCAGTTTTATTTATTAAATGATTCTTACACAGGAAGACCAGAAGACTTGCAGAATATAACTGTGAAAGGACACTTCAAATGTTCTTCCAAATTACTAGGGGCTGTACCTATATGAATGCCCCTCTGCGAGGACAGATGAATTAGCACATTATTCCTCTGCAACTATTCACTTCCTTGAACATATTTAATTCTTACCTCTTCTAAGCAAATATAGACAAGTATGATTATGCTATGTATTTGACCAGTAATTTATGTAGCCCCTCAGCCTGTTTGTTTTGCTATGTAAGACTGGTTTTGAACAATTACCTGTTCTGCAGAATTTCCATCAGACATAATATCTGGCAGAGCTGGAGGCTATTCCTTCTGTTGCAAACGAAAGGAACAACACAATTCAGAGACTGGTTCAGTGAAAGGACTATAAACAATGGTACCTTTTGTTATTTCAGAAAGCAGCAGAGAAGGAGAAATTCCTTTCTTCTCTAACAAAGTCATGCCTAACAATTGCACATAGAAGGGAAGAGATGGAAACTCTGGACCATTGCTTTGTCTGCAGCGGAGAAAAGTCTACCTTTATGCCTAAAGGGAATGCTATCAGTCTCTTTCCACCTATAGATATACTGCAACTGCTTTTGATAACTGCAGAAGAGAGAAGTACAATCACATCTTTGGAGCCTAGGAGAAAAAAAGATTCAGAATTCAAGGTCACCTCATAGAGAAAATGAAATAATTTCAATATGAAAGTATTCTTTTCACACAGTTTCTACTGAGATAGACAATTTGAAATTGAAAAAAATAACACTTATTTTTCTGCTTGTTTCATGTGAAAGAAGGCTTCTCAATACAGAGCGATTATGAAATATTTTTTGAAATATTTGAAAATACTAAGACCACCGATAAGATAGAGAAGCAAAGATTACCCTACCAAATACAAATAATGAGTTTAAAAGATATTCTGTATTAGTAATCAGGCACTTTATATAATATTTGCAGTAAAGTCAAAATAATACTTTTTAGAGCTTTTCTTTGCATAATAGCTGCAAGCTAGCTAAGTATGCACAATACTCATTGCATACTGCTAGGACCCAGGTCCCAGAAACACTCATGAGCAGTAACTACATAGTGATGAGTCACTTAAGAAAATTACAGCAATCTTATTTGGTATTTTATCCAAATAAATGTCTTTTATAGCACTACGCTCTCAACTACATGCAGTGTATTAATGCACAATGGAAGATGCATTTCTAGATTACTGAATTCCCTACTGTTGGAGATCTTATAGGACCTCACCTGTAAATTTTACCTTACAGTTTGTTGCTGAACAAATGCAGCATACATTAATGTCCAATGAAAAACAGCTTAAAACGCTCATTAATAAGTTACCCCAGAGTGAAAAGCAGATAAATGTTTTCAATTTCAGGGAAAAAAAAAAGCACCAAATGTGCTAAATAAGAGATAGCAAGGTTAGGCAGTAGAGTGGATATATATATATATATATATATTTATTTTCGGTCTTATTCCTCTGCAGCTAGGTTCTGGCAGTATGAAAAAGTTCAGCAAGTGTGACTGTACACAGTAATCATCTCAGTGATGGAATAGGTTCAGTTTTAATGAAATGCTTATTCCACTTACTCTACCTTTGGCACATAGGAACCTGTATGTGCAGTCTTCCTATGCTGTTCAGATATCTTTAATTGGCACAAAGGAATCAAATATGCCTATATGTAGATACATGGCACATATGTACTACAGAGAAGAGAAAAAATTCCTCTAAGAAAGTCAATGCCTGTGTTAAACAAGCTGCCCAGTTAAGATACGTATTTCACTGGTGTTTTGCTGGTACAAAAACTATTAAACTAGAACAGCACTCAAGAGTTTTGCTATTAAATCAGAAATGCATTAATTGTAGGTAATTGTCTAGACTACACACATTTAAAAGCATTTAAAGGCATAATTCTTAGCTGGGAACACTGAATCACGTATGTCTATGATTTCCATGCTTAAAATGAAGATTTGCCTTCTGTAATCTAGCTTAAAGTTTCATCAAGAAAATACCATGAATTGCCAGTATCCAATTCTGATCAAGACAAACTCACAGTTCTCTGAACTATGACTACAGAAAGTCATCAGACAGTCAAATCCTCTGTTGGGATGTCATTTAAAAGCCACTATGAAGTAGACTAGATTTTGAGGGTCCCGTTAGCTGGATGCAGACTTCTGTGTAAGGTAACTAAAAATGGATTAAAATTGATGCGCTGTTTTTTTTTTTTCCCCCACCAAATCTGTTCAAATTTGTCAAACCAGCAAAAGTTGAGAAAAAAGGGTCCTCCAGATCAAGCAGAAATTATGCTTAAGAGTCCTAATGCTAGTTTTGTGATAAAACAAAACAGGCATTTTATGTTAAGTGAATCTACAGTGAAAATTCTGGTATAAAAACACATGAAGTATATAAAAATCGTAAGGTGTCATTTGCATGTGCATGTCAATATTTACAAATAATATCTATTTCTACCGTACAAAACAATTGTATATAACAAAGATATCAATGACTTGCACTTAGAATGAATGCTCTGATCTGACAAGCTGCTCCACGTACACAGATGAGCAGGGCCCTCCCAACGCAGAGAGTGTGGCTGTTTCTGTGAAGCAGCACCTCACAGCTCAGGTGGGCAAAAAGATGACCACTTCCTGCAGCCCACAGGTGCACCTGTTCCCACAACAACGTGGGCAAAAGAACGCCCATGCCAGTCGGCACGTTATGCCTGCAGAACAGAGCAGCAGCTTCCTTAACATTTTGCTTCCCCAGGTTCACTGGCATCTGCACAATATGTGCAACCTTGACCTGCAATGGCAGGTTTCCTAAACAGACTGCTACTGACAGCATCGCTATTTCGGCATGACGTATGGGCTTCGGAGTGCAGTGGTGGGACTTAACCCAACAATACAGGGATTCTTCAAGTCATCAATGTTAGAACTCCTGCAAGTACTAAAAGGCTCAAATTTAATCCACAACATGTGTGTTTCTCCTACAGAAACATCACAACATACGTGAATACACATTTACAAAGAAGTTACAGCCGTGTTTCCACCTTTTATACTTGATCCCACGGTAGACAAGACGGAATTTTCACTTTGTCCTACCCAAGTATGATTAGAGTAGTTTCTGAAACACTAATTTGGTTCCTTTCTGATGTATGCAGAAGGCTTAAGGACATAAATAGCTATCTACAATACTAGTGGGTGTGCACTAAAAAGAATTATATAAAAGGTGCTGAACTACAGTTATCTCCACAGCTTTTGAAGTAAAAAACTCATTTGACTTGTAAGCAGAGCAAGACAACGGAAGACTACAGAAAACATGCGCATTATTATGCCCCCTGCAACATTACCAGAAACCTCAATAAACATTCTATACCAGAATGATTACACTTGCAGTACCTAAGGCAACAATCACTCTTTTATCCAGCACTACCAGGTCTCAGGAAAAAAAACAATGACCCGAAGAATTATTTTGGTCAGACTGCTTATCTTCAGTATTGTATTGCCTCTAATTCTATGGAAATAATTGTACGATGAGACTTCAACTAGTGAAACATTTCTACAATGAATTCTACACTCCAGATACTCTCAAGAGAGATGTGTAGCTATACGTTATTTTTTCCTTAAGCTTATTATAAACCTTTACCCAATCTTAAAAGGAAGGGCTTACCACAAAATGCAGTAACTACATATAGATTCTGCCTTGACTGTAACCTCACGATGAAATTTATTTCATAGACAGATGATTTTAACTTCATTTCTATAAAGATTTTATTAGAAGAAATGTTATCTGACTAGAAGCCATTTTCCAAAGAAAAGCCCTATCCCGAATTCCGACCTTTAGGGTAGCCACAAAAAAGTGCAATCATGAAAGCTGCAATGCTTTTAAGCAATACTGGTAGAATCTATTTAGACTATTTAAAATTCCTTTTTCGAATTATCACGTTCTACGCTTTTGTTAAAGGTACACTGCAAAAGGACCATTGCACACTCATGAGTGAGCTATACCTGGACCCATAAGAAGCTTATTGAGAAAAAGGTAGTGGCCCAACAACCACTTCTCTAAATATATTTTCTATACAAAATATTTTCAAGGTATAATCCTTACCTATTTGTACAGTACTCTATGATTTAAACAACGATATTCAGTAAAATAGTAAGCGTGTGAAACTGCAACACCACATGGAATGAGCACTCTGCCATTTTGCTAGTGTGATCAATACGAGGACCAGAAGGATTTTCTAACACGCAAGCAAAAATATTACAGAGTTTTTGAATCTTGACTGTACACTTCATGATTTTGGCTATGACTTGCAGCACACATAAAATTCACAAATATCTTATGCACATTTCAGTAGCAGAATGGCACTTGGCTTGCTCTAATAGAAACAACAAAGATGCAGTTGACAATTTTAAGAAAGACAATGTCCTTATTTGCATGCTGAAAATCTGGTTGTGTCCCCCTAATCCAGGCACATCCATTCATTGTGCAATCTGTCGATGGGTAAACAAATAGTGCAGGATTCATCACAATGAGATTTGGCCCTTTGGTCTAACCGAAGTCAATTCTAGGTCGATACTGAAGTACCATAGGGTAAGACTAAAAACAAAAACAAGAGAAAAACAACAACAAAGACAAGAATAACATGAAGATACGATTCATTAAAAATACAAAAGAAATGCTATTAAACTTTACCTTAAGAGCAGTAAGAACTTATTCCTCAAACATATATATAGAACTATTTCAAATATAAATAAAATGATTGCAATATACATTTCAGCAATTCCACTGCTGTACTTCAAAGCTATCTTAGTTCTTAATCAGCTATAATTATTTGTTTTGAACATAAAATTCTTACATCTAACTTTTGCATATTTAGTAACTTTTATGGTTTATGACAAATATGTTGTATTATTCAAACATCTTTTATTTATGCTGCTGTGGCTGAGAATAAGCAATTTTTATCCTTTATACTATGTAAAATAAGGTCCATTTACAGATGATGCACATAGTTTCACTTTTAAATATACAGAGATTCCCATAGGCATGGCAGTAGTTAGCACTAGTTAAATGGAGCTAGGTTCCTTTGGTATTAAATAATAAAGAAGGAATCAGATAAAATTGCTGTCAACTGATGTACTCAAAAAATAAAGACTAATGTTTTTCCCTCCCTGAAATCCAAAGTCCTCAACTTCATAATTAATGATACATATTCAGTAGTTATTACTAGGGGGGAAGGGGAGGGGAGGGGAAGTTAATAATGTAATGGAATCCCTGAATTGGCTGTTGTGGTAACAGAGGGTTTCCAAAAAGTGCTGCGGAATAGCTGAGCACCTGTTGCCAGAGGTCCTGTTAACATCTCATTTTTATCAATCTTTCAGCATTTCATTGAAGATGTTTTCCTCTTACCTTAGTGATCTGTTTTGATTGCAAATAAAACAGGCTAATCTTATTGACCCAGAAACTGTATGGGCCTCTGCCACAGAGCATGGCTAATTTAAGTCTTGATTTTTCCCAATTTGGAAATAAACAATAAAAAACTGCACCCTTCAAATGCAAGATGGATGAACTTCAGGTACCAAGAAAGAAAGAGATCACTGCAGAGACCTTCACAGCTTAACAGATTTTTGTGTCAGGGCAGAAATAATCAGCAGAACTAAACGTGACCATAGTTGCTGGTGATTTACAATCTGGAGCACAGAGAAATCAAAACATAAAAGCAGAGGTACTCAACAGCAGCAAGAGCATTTAGGAAGAGAAGACATGGAACACCATGTGTAGTCTGCATTAGCAATTAACAAATGTATTTGCAGACCAAATGACTTAGTCCCTGATTTTTTCCACACAGGACATGACTATATTATTTAAATACTATTTTGCTTGTTCCTTTTTCATAACAAATATTTTGATTGTATAAATTGTATCTAAAAGCAGTCGGTTCTAACTGGAAGTCCATACAGGCAGAGACAAAGCAGTCACCTCACTGAATAACGCATCATGCAAACCCTCTTCACTAAGTGTTTTTGCAAGACTGAATACTACTTTGAAAAACTACAAACTGTACAGACAAAAAAGAAATAGGTTGGAGAGATTCTAATTACTGAAGTAGGTATGACTGTAAAACAGATCACTCCCATCCATAGTGAGAGCAATGCTCAATCATTAATTTTTTGCTCAAGAAAAATTTTTATTTCAGACTTTCAAAGCAATTTTTAGAAGAAAGTTCGACTGAATATTACCAATGAGCAAACTGAAATACTGTTCACTGTCCCTAGAGGTGCTTAAGAAATATGAAGATGTGGTACTTAGGGATATGGTTTAGTGGGCACTATTACTAGCAGGTGGATGGTTGGACTAGATGATCTTAAGAGGTCTTTTCCAACCCTTATGATTTTTGATATGTACTGAAAAAAAATACCAAACTGATCAATGAGATTTAGGAATCAACTTCAATTTGCAATTTCTCTGTTTGTTTAAAAAGAAAATATGAATTGTCATAATTGTCATAACGATACAAAACCACCAACACAGTCTCTTTTGTTTCACTCCCTTCAGTTTTGGTCCTCAGTCAGTGGTTGCCCAATGCTACCTATCAGAAATATGAGATAGGAAGGCGGACAACACTTCCATATTGATGCAACTATCAGCCTAAAGAATGAAATAAGATAACTGAGCTAACGGAAGATAAAAGATAGTAGTCTTACATTTTAAATCTACAAAACCTGGTAATTTGAATATGTTCTATTAGTTTAATTAAGCTTTCTTTCAATGAACAAAAATGCTCAAGTCTTTCTGGTGGTATTTTTGCACTTTGTAGTAAGGTATCATAAAAATTCTAGTTTTGATTATAACTGTAGTGTTTACAGGACCTTTTTGACTGTAATATGTACAGTCGTGAGTGCCTCTTACCTGATACAAAGTGCCATCCTGTGAGTAGACTTGCGAAGATGAGCAGTTCTGACACCGAAACTGCGAAGGAGATGATTTTCTGATCAGATAAGAGGCATCCACAGCTGGACATAGACATTTACCTTTCCTTTTTAAAAAACTCAGTTGTAAAGTTTAAAATTTATTTCCTTGTTTGAAACAAGAAAGACTTCTCTAATGAATAAGTGGATATTCCACTTAACTGCTCTACCTCTTGCAAGGTCCACAGGTGTGCCAGTAAAAGCTGGTGGCAAATAGTACCAAAGATAAAAATAAAGGATTTACTTGATCTTCATCTAAAGGAAGAGAATTAATTAGCACTGCAACTACTGTTATTTTAGAAGACCCAACACAGTTAACGAAAACAAAATTAGAAAAGCCCAGATGTTACTGGTTTTATCATCAGCACAATTTTTAAAAGATTTAGACTGTCATCTCTGACTTCAGGGGAATTACTTAAAACCACATAAAAGAAAAGATGAACACACAGCTGACGTACCATATAGACATAACTTACAAATCTAAGCAAGAGCTGTCAACTCCTCTACTTATTTAAGGTTAAAATGATAATTCTGAGATTTAAAAAAAAAAAATTAACCAGTACAAATAGTGTCCTTTCTGTCAAGATGACAGTTACTGCTGCTTACAAACGACTGCAAGGACCAAAGGTCCATTTGTAAGCAGGGGCTGCGGGATTAAATTTTAGGAAAAGAATTCCATTATCACTGAAGTTGTTCCCTCAAAATTTCTTATGAGTACAGCCAATGCTAATAAAAGATAAAGTGGCAAGGCAAACAGATACTGCTGGTTTCAAGGCAGTACTGGAAAAATGGTACTCATTGATGCAACTCTGGGGTTTCAGTAACTGTCAAATTCCAGTGCGATACAACGTTCAAATCTGACTAATAATTGCCTATACATAACTCTCTTAATTCCTATGAAATACACCTTGACTTTTCTCACATAAGGTAAAATCAAGAAACTTGCGAATTATTAATTCCAAAGTGTGCTTAATCCCATCTTCTCTGTCCACTTCCCACTGCATTTTAAATCTGAGTTTACAGATTAATAAATTATGTTAACTGCTTAAACTTATCACTCCTGCAGTATAACCTCTACTGGCAGTGGCAGGCAACAAACTTGCTCATAGCATTAAGCAATAACGAGAAAAAGCAAAGAACAGCCACATACAAACAAATGGATACATTTAAAAAACAAGAGAAAAAATGGAGATATGAGTCCTAACAAAATCTACCAGGTATACAGGACAACATTGGCTACTAAATTAAGCAAAGGCATACCTGAAAGAAAGGTGTTCAAGTAAGTGAAGAATTGCAGTTCTAAAATGCATGCACACAATAAGGAAAACCCATCTAGCTGTATTAGCTGATTGTTAGTCTTTGTTATACAGTGCAACTAAAAAACATGAATGTAGTACTCACTGAAACAACCATAAACCAATCAGGTTGCTCCAATAATTTGCCAGTGTTACAGTTCATTACTGACTGAATAAAAGAGATTCTAAATAAAGAACTGCTTTACGCAGATTCGTAAATATTGTGACGTAAAGTGTCACTAACAGGAAACTTGCAGAAAATCTGGAAAAAAATTACTTAAAATTATGAGCAGACCTTTCATGCAAACTTTGTATACCTTTCAGTTTTAAGCTTCACAATCTACATTTGCTGCAGGTTTTCCACTCACTACATATTTTCTCACATAATAAATACAGAAAACATGCAAAACATATCTTTAAGGACAGATCTTTTTGAAGGGTCACAGAAGATATTTTGTATCAAGCTATGAAAGCATGTAATAAGAATCCCCAAACACCATTTATTAGTAATAGAACAGCATTTACGTTTTCGCCTCTTAGTCTCCATCTTGTCATATAGATGAATTCCATAGTATGATCCTTTCCCATGATTTCTCCATTGCATAGTACATCCAGCTTAAAATACAACAGAACAAACGGTAAGACAAACTGATGTAAAAATTAATGACTAAATGAACTTTCAAGAGCATCTCTGAGAACTAAGCCCAGAATTTCTCTTACTGTAAAAAGCTTAATAAATACAACATATTGACAACAGGCTATTTCATACAGTAGTGTTCCAATTTACTTTTTCAGTGAAGTTTTAGTCAGGATGAAAATGTTCTAAACTAAGTAGGAAATTATCAGTAGACAAAACTTGTACATATTTACCAATACTACACAGCATTTCTCTGAAGAGAAAGTCATATGTTGGTTAGTGAAGGCTTTTTTGCTACATCAATGCTCTTTCAAAACCAAACATACAAAATCCGGGTGTTGTAATTCTCATCTTTAAAAAATAAATTATGAACTAACTTTAAATGTTTTAGTTTAAAAGTAACTATAATTACAAGGAAAAATGCATGTATACAAACATGTTTCTTCATTATCTGGAAGGACTAAGGGCATAAGAAAAGATAAGTACTTCTCTTACTGTAAAAGATATTACAGCATTCACTGAAAATCTATGACTATTCTTTCATTACAATAGCCATAATGCTTTCCTGCTTTCAAGAGGAAAAAGAAATAAAAAAATTTTAAGTAAGTAGGCACTACATAATGCACGACCATAAGATGTCAGAGATAGATTAAATCAATGTAGAACAAAACCAGTGACACCAAAATGGCTGGCTGGAACATCGTAATACTGTGACAACTCTGCAACAACCTATACACCTCATCTTACTCAGCCCTACCTCTGACTGAAACTGGGATGCTGCTGTTCATTAAAGGAAGCCTAATGTGTGGAGTCATTGAGTTCTGTATGAGAACTGACTGAATTCAAAACTCCTGTATCCTTGAGAAGAAGGAAAGTTTACGCAGGAGTTTCAGGCTCCCTATCTCAACTCTACATCACAACTTCTACCATGTCAGCAAGTCCCCCCAGGAAACAGTTCTGGCCAAAATCAAATCACTCACAGAGAAAAGATATGTCTCCTTCTCTATTAAATTCTGGAAATGGCATATTTAAAAAAAAAAAAAAAAAAAAAAAAAAAGTATCTTCCTCTCAAAAAATTCAGATAGTATTTTTGTCACTTCTCCTAAGGACTGGATTCTTACTACAACTGCATGAGCTGTACCATTAGCAAATTCTAGTCATTGTGATAAACAACTCCACTTCTAGTCATCGTGATAAACAACTTCTCACTTAAGGGCAGAAAATATACCTTAGAATATTGAAGAATACTTAGTGTAAACTCACGCACAAATATGGCTCAATTTCATTTTAAAAAATACCACTTTGCAATTAAGTAAAAACATAAGCAACACTCTTCCAAATGTACCTCATAAGAACTTGGAAGTTTTAATTTTAAGCTGAGAAACTTTTTGATAGTTCCCACGGTCACTCGAGTAGAGCAGCGGATAAATTTCTTCATTAAACCCTAAAGCGACAACAGAAGAGAAAAACATGTTAGAAATTACAGAACCATGCCTTCTCATTTTTCATTAAATAGCATGTAAGCAATTTCCAGTCCAAGGACAGCTGTGAGAAATCTTTTTTCCCTATCAGTAACCATTTTTACTCTCTCTCTTCTAACTCATAATAGCATTGTAGCTTCATTCCTGTTCACGTCTTTACAAGATTTGGGTTCCAGTCATTCAGTACACAACTTACATGAGAAGTAGTTTCATGTTGGCATGTTAAGACAACTATCCTGAAAGCATGAAACAGCTCTTTCACAACTAACTTCTAAAGCAACTCCACAGTATGCCATAATCTGCTGCATGAAGCAGTTATTTACCACTGAGGATGGAAGATATTGGAGCTACAAAAAAATGCATCCACAATAATCAATAGATAATGCCATGAATTTCTTGTAAAATTCCATGATGCACTGAAACACCTCAAACAAAAGAGAGTAACTAAAGGTACAATCAAGACAGGTCAATGTTGTTTCACTAAAATGTATTGTTATGAATGATTTAGTTCCAAGAACAATACCACCACAGATTATCATTAGGACTCACTTTTACTACATTGTCTCCAGACTGCCCATTGTTGCGTAAACAGTCGAGGCAGATGGCGATCTGTGGGTCACTCCTGTGATAGTCTTTATCTTCTTCATTTTCATCACACTCCTCATCAACTTTGGGTTTATCAGTTTTGGGGCTTTCTTCTGTAGAATATGAAGATTATCATTTAAGTGTAAAACAAAAGTCACAGTACCAACAAACACTTATTGATGTAATACTTAATATTCAAGAGCATATTTTCCTTCATATTAACTTTGCAATTTTAATTTTGTGTATTCTTAAATTGATCAATTATAACCTATGAAAATGAAGTTTTACTACTGACATTCTGAAGTAAAATGCACAACAGATTCCTGTGTGATAGGAAATAATATGCCCCTAATAGTTAATGCTGTCTACTGTTGTTTGCGTCCACTGATTTTTGAAGGCTGCAACCATGAACGTATCAAATGCAAACCCACTCTATGGTGTGGGAGCTCACTTCCAGAAAACACTGCTTGTAAATATACCACGGAACAACTAATATCAGCACCTGCAACATGCATAATTAACACATATTAAAGGTCTGCTGTAATAACAGAGGAGACAAGTTCCTGAAACATTACTGTGAAGTAAAGCAAAGGAGCTTTTCAAAAGGTATTTTTAAAGCCCAAATCATGTAGGCTATGGTATCAAAACCCTGAAGTAAAATCAAAGGGGCTTCAAAAACAGATGTCCTTCTCACTTGGCAGCTTAATAACGAACTCTCAAAGTTCATGGGTCAACTACCAAAAAAAAAAAAAAAAAAAAAAAAAAAGGCAATTTGAAATCTACATAAAACAATTGTTTAGAATGTGTGGAAAACTGTTTTACTACTTGCCGTTACTAATTCTTGACAACCTCCTACTTAACAGCTGGTCAAATTCAGTATCATAAAATAATCTGTAAAAAATGCTCAAGCAGTTCTACATTTTACTCTATGTAATATGAAAAAAATTAAGAATTCAAATGAAAATTGCATGAATGATGACTGGGAGGGCTTAGGGAAATGCAAGCAAAAATAGCAGTTAAAGAGCTAGCGCTGTAAATCAACTGGTTAAAAGGTGGGCAGTAGTAAATAAAAGTCCAGATGACACTTAGAAAGATTTTAGGAGTTTGTGCATTATCTGTGAATTCAGTAATAATAAAAAGTACATGCATGAACATTTGAAGAATCAGGGCTTGATGAGGAGCTGTGACATTATCTAACATACATGTGGGGAAGAGAAAAAAAAATATAAAATAAAAAAAGTCATCACCTTGCCCATTTTCTTGAGGTTTATTTTTCTTCCAAAACTCAATCTCTCGCTGCAGTTCCTCTAGTTAACACCAGAAAAACAGTAATATGAATTTTAAATCAGAAATACAGACACAGTACAGAAACAGTCATATTCCCTCCATCACCCCAAGCAAGTACCCAAAACCAAATCAGAAAACTTACGTTCTCGAAGTCCAGGCACCAGCTTAAATATAATTTCCTCTAAGGTGTTATCCAGCCTTTCAAGGGGAGAAAATACATTTCACATTAAGCAGAAACTTGCATTTTAAATATTTTTAGCCTTTAAACAACAAACACGTTTTTACTAGTAAAATGAATTGCATATTTCTAGTAAATAATACATGGAAAAAACAGCTGATTTTAGCTTTAGAGGAAAAAAACATGCATTAAAGATTATCTGAATTACCGCTCAAATGGATTTCTTCTTGAAATTACCAAGAAATTCACTTTCTAACAGATAAAAAGTAAAGGAAAGGGAAAAAACATTCTGACAGGTTTTTGTTGTTTCTGCGTTACACTGAATAAATTATGCTGTCAAAAAGAAAAAATTAGAAAAGTAATACCAAATTTTAAAGACCGAGTAATGCAGAACAAGCATGGAAACTATAAATTTCATTATCATATTGATTTTAAGTAGGTGTAGACATCCCTTGTAATACATTTTAAGAAAGCTGAACAGATTCCCTACTCACGATAAAACATACAAATCAATCTGGGCAGGATAAGGAAGCTCACACAGCATCCACTCTGCCCTGGCTAGAAACCACAATGTAATAACTTCCTTTGGTATATTTTTAATTGCCCTGATTTGTCTTCTCAATGATATATATCTGTACCTCTATACATATATACTTATATTTGTATATACACATACAAATGTGTACACACCATTAATAATACACACTAGATCTGCTATAAAGCACGTGACAATTCACTACCTCTTGTCTGCTAGAAGTGACAAAGTAAGATGACCCAAAGATTTTAAAGTTGAGGAACACTGAGAAGCATTTTAGTAGATAGTGATTCACTTCTTAAATACACCAGCATTCCAGCTTCTTTTCTCTACACTATTTGCATTTGTAATCTAAAGTTTACAAATAGACATATTAACAAGTCATCTATTTTGAGACCAGTTCTCTGTGTCACTTCTTGGAGACAATCGTATCATAGGAATATTTATATTTAAGCTACTACTGTATTCCATTTTTCAACTGTTTCTTCTTGTAAAGACAAAAAAAAAAAAAAAAAAAAAATCCAGGTGAAGCAGACTGTTCCTAAAGCAAAGATGCATAGAGAGCACTTTCTCATGGATAAGAAGGAAAACAAAGTCATATGACATCAAAGCACTTTCTGAATAGAGAAACTGTAGGTCTACTTTTCCAAATGGTATGTTATCTCTTCCAGCCTCTCAAGATCAAACACAACTAGATGGTACTTTCAAGTCCCCAAAGCAGAGCATTGGGAACTTGTGAATCTATCCAGGAAATGGAAAATATACTATATTTGGAAACAATTCCACTTTGCAAGAAAGTTCTAATCTTCATAACTTACTCATTTAGAAAAATTTGGACTTCAAAGGAGAATCACACTGTACTTAATTTAAAAATCCTGTTAAACATTCCTTATGATGGTGCATGCATGCTGTTTTTTCTACATTTATTACTGAGAAATTCCATTTTTCATTTTTTAACTGATCTTCAATGGCTCAAAAGAAAAGTCAACGGCAGTGCTATCACAGCAAGAAACCTGTGTACTTAGCAATTACAATGCTAGCACCATGCACTCATACTCTACTTGACAACCATTTTCTTTGAAAAAGCGAACTAAATGAAGTTCTTCTTCCTAATGAAGAAGAAACACTAATTAGAGGAAAATATCCCTATGGCTATAGAGAAAAAAGTAGAAAAAAATAACACCTATCCAATCTTAAAGTGCATGGAAACTAACTATAAATTATAATAATAAACCTAGGAAATTATAAAAATATTCTCAATTTCAGGTGCTTTTAACAGTGTTCCTATCCTCCAAGCCTATGAGAACTCAAAAAGAGATTTTGTATTTTGCATCAAAGTCATTCCAAAATGAAATTACTTGGCCTAACTCTGAAGTTGCTCAGTCATTTAGTATGATACTTCCTGCTGAGGCCAAACTGAGAACCGTTTATGTTTTAGACACCACTCTGCACCCCCACATCTTCCAACCATAAGAACAGCTTGTATGGCAAGAAGAACCAAGTATTTATGCTAGCTTTGAATAGTTCCCATCTCTCCCACCTTCTGTAATAAATGTGTTCTATGAACAAAGCATAATAACTGTTAATTATCTGAAGTGAAACAAATGAAGGCATCAGTCAGGAAAACTTGCATCCAAGTCAGCTTGCTAAGAAGTGCATCTTTATAGTATGACCAACCCAAACACTACTGAATGTTGATAACATTGATAACACAGAATTCTTCTAAATTTGGAAGGTGAATTCCAAAATTTAATACTCTTCCCATATTTTCAGTTTGGAGTTCAGAGTTGAATTTCAGACTCAGCCTTTTAGTTTCAACAGCCTTTCCATACTGCCAACTGAAAGATACATCTAAATAATTCAAGACAGTTATGAAGTTACTCATAATTGAGTTTATAAAAGAGTTTATGAAGTATGTCTCAAAGATTTCAGATAAAAATACTACTTAGGGTGCCATTTCTCACAAACTCGCTGCACTCCTCAGCAATGATGGGGCTTGTCTCTAAGTCAAAGTATAATGTGTGTATAATGTTACACAGGCAACTCCCAAAAAAGATAATGTCATTACACTGTTATTCTGATTACTAGTTCAGCAAATGTTTAGAAGTGCTTCATAAAACACAACCAGCAAACATACTTACATGCAGTTTGTTGGAAAATTGATCCAGTTAGTTACTCTAGAAGCAGTTTCAGGAAATAATTATGAGGAAAACAGGTTTTTCCTCATTTCTGGCTTGTGAGCTTAACTTCTCACCCTTTTAGCTTTTCTTACTTAAAGCACATTACTATTTTACTAAACATCTACTAGACATTTTCTAAAATATTTTTCTAGCTCACCTGTAAATAATCCTGTCAGAATAAAAGATGTGCTTCTAGAACATTTCTGCTTCCAATAGTTACTCTGTACAACATGTCTTGTTATGGCAGACAAAATGCTCCTGATACTGATAGGAGATTAGAAATATACATGTGGTAACAAACCCTTTTAGCTCTACCTCTCCAAAAACATTTGGATCACAAAGACTTCAGCTAATGGTACCACCTAGAGTTGCTGGATTTACTCTTTCTCACCTACTGTCTTGGTATCTATCTGAAACACACATCTGTCACAAAAATCAAAGCAAAATACAGCAAATTGTAGCAAACACCAGTAAATTAGGAAATAATACCACCTCTAGTAAACTCCAGGTGTAAATATTTATTTTAGCACTGACACAACAGTATTTCTTCCTGAGTTCACAACAGTGCTACAAACTACATAAATCTCAAAGAAAAATTGTACCCTCTGAATGTATTGTTCTTGGTGGTGTTCTATTTTGTTTCTTTTAAGTTGTACAAAAGACAAAAGGCAACTGTGAGAAGGAGGCAAGGCTTCCTTAGGACCAATCAGTAACATGAAATTATGATTTTAAGCACTGGAATGAGACATTCAGGATAACCTTAACTGAGCAAACAGTGATTAGTTTTAGTTGTTTTCATTGCATATGCAGTGACCAGGACACAGCTAGTTTCCTTTTTATTGCTTTGGTTTATCTGGAGTCCTCTGAAGATCTAGCTCATTTAATTCCTTTTTCAGCTAAAAAAAATAAAATCTCAAAAGATATTCTATGAAAAATAAACAAATAATCAGATCTCACAGGCATGCTCATGCTGCCATTTTCTCTGACTCTCCCAGTGTCTGGCCAGTTAATCCAAATGTAGGCCCCCAAAAAATCATGTGAAAGACCAACTAAAAAATATCTCCCCTAAAACTTGCGGAATCACATCTGGTGACACGTATATGAAAGACACAAAGTATAAAATGTACAAACACTGAGCCTATTAAGGTATTCTAAGAATTAAAATCCAAAGAAAACAGATCAAGAGAGCAAAAACAGCTTGTACTAATTTATACAATTAGTAATTAAAATTATTCACATCCAGTAGTCCCATGCAATCACAGCTAATACATCGTTATAAACCAGAAGATCCCAGCATACTGTAACAAAGAGCCCTCAAGACAACTTCCAGAAATTCTCATGCTCATAGCAAAGTGAAAGTTCAAACTTAAAAGGACAATACACTGTCCCTAGCAGTGAACACTTCTATCCATAGGTGGGTGGGAAGTGTACTTCAGCACTTTTGTTTATTCACAAATCATCATCATTATGCAAATAGCAAAAATAGAGCAATATGATATAACTAGCAAAAAGGTGAAGAGTTTAAATTCCTTCTAAGGTCTGCAATAAAATTTTTAACAACTGCTGTGGTTATCAAACATCAAGAGAAAAGTGAATGTTAAATAGAAATCCAGCTAACTTATTTCTGAATCTCCTTCATTAAATATGACTAAAAGAAACAAACAAAAATCTCCCTTTCATAGAATCACAGAATTGCTTGGGTTGGAAGGGACCTCAAGAATCATCAAGCTTCAATTCCCCTGCGGCAGGCAAGGCCACCAACCTCCATATCTTATACTAGACTAGACTGCCCAGGGGCCCATTCAACCTGGCTTTGATGTACCCTAAAACTGCTTTTAGTACTTCAGAAACTGTTCACCTGCCTTCATAGCCCTGTACTGATATCCTGTCATCTTTCTTGCAGGATTTCCTCATGTTTTAAACTCTGCTTAACACATGTGGACTTCCAGCACACATACTATGGAAAGCAGGTAAGTCTGTAACCTTGAGAAAAGATGAGAATGGGTTGGAACGAGGGTGGGACGAGGCTGGTTCCTAAAATGATGACATTTCAGGAAAATGTGAATTTTTACTTAAAATGACATTTCTTGATTTCTCTAGGATAGCTATCACTTTGCATTTCTACATATTGTAACAACTTACACATCTTGTCCTAACAATCATTTTTCTTGAAATTCTGTATTCTCTTTTGGTGATATAGAAACAAACATCCAAGAATGGGCATTTTCAGTGTCAAAATCATCTCTTATGCTTATCCTGACTGACCAGCAGATAACAATACAGATTGGCAAGTATAACCCTTCAATTATTCAGTTATTTGCATGACCCTTTTTATACAACACTGGAAGAACAGAAGGGTTTAACACAGTTTGAAATCTACTAAATTGTTGAGGAGGGGAAGGAAAGAAAGAAAGACTATTAATAAAGTTTGTAATCAAGTAAAGCATAGAAGGTTTCTGCTTCATTTATTCATTTAATAGAGGCTTTAAAATACTTCAATTTGTACAATATACTCGAGCCTTGCTGCAATTTTTCTTTGTCTTTCCTCCTTAAATTATACGTGAAAAATTCCAGTCTGCTACAAGATGAGAAACTGACAATCCCTGGTCAAACACAGTTGACTCATTTTACAAACAGGCAAAAAAATTAATTTCATTTTAGGACAATAATATTTAGAGCTTTTTTGTTTGGTTGTTTTAATTTTTGTGTCCTTTCACGTCAGCAAAGTTGTGTAATGTCATCTCACCTTAACATTTCTAGTGGGTTGGTCTCATGCACTTGGTTGCCACACCTGGGACAGTCATTGCTGTCTTCAAAGTGCTGAACAATGCAAGTCTTACAAACTGAGGGACAAAAAAGAAAGAAAAAGAAGTTAGGCCAAGATCTAAGTAGTATTCCTTGAACACAACCTAATGATGCCAGCTAACTAAGCTAACTACTTCATGTATCAAAGATGAAGGAGTATTATTTTAAAGCACTAATTGCTTTACACTTCTTGTTCCTCAAAGCGATAGCCAGCTCTGCAATCTCTTTGTAAGAGAAAAGTTCACAGAAACTCTACACTGGTTCAAAGCAGTGATGTTTGCCTTTGGACAGAAATTACAGAAAATACTTAATATTTGAATATTATCATGAAAAAAAGAAAACAGAGTCATGGCCATGACAAACTCAGAGCAACAATGTGAATTTAAAATCCAACAAAATGGAAACTACAGAAGGTGCTGCACTACTGTTGCTTTCAAATGATTAATTGCATCCTATAGATTTTACTGCCATTATTAAGAAAATGTAACTGGAGCTGACAAGAACAAATACATCTGCTATTATTAATGCATTATAACATTCAGGATGGAAATAATATCTATGCTCTGTTTATTATTACTTAAAGTGAAACGAGAGCTGCAAACTCATCAGCAAATGGACTAAAAAAATAAATGGATTGCTGCAACTGCAATATGTTTTCTGCTGAAACACTAATTTCTTTCATCACTTACCTAACGAACTAATAGCACCACTACAGTGAGCTGGTAAGCTCTAATATGACAGTCTTTAAGGACAATCTTGTTGGGTTTTGTTGTTTGTTTTAAGCAAATGTCACCTAATATGCTCAGTCTGCACTTATCTGCCTTAGAATGCCCAGAAGAGTTATTACACGTCAGCTGACTCTGATAATGCAATGATATTACATGTCAGCTGAGTCTGTGTAGGCACAGGTTTTTCCAAAGTGGTTTCAGACACTGACTGAAAGGCATGAACTTCATAGTTTTGGTTGCATGGCTCAGTGTGGTTCCTGGCACTCTCCCCAAGTGAAATAGCTCCAGCAGTGCTGCGTACATGGTAGATCACTGATGATCTGGTAAAAGGAGTCCAGAAAGCCCCTAAGTGCTGCCAACCGAGTCACAGAACAGAATGGCCTGGGTTGAAAAGGACCATGTAATTTCATCTAATTTCAACACCCCTTCTATGTCCAGGGAGTGAAGCATGGCCCTCTGCAGACAGGAACCTCCAAACAGAGATGCACAAGAGCTCAGTTCAACCCTTAGGACATGAGTGCATTTCTTCTTAAACCAAAGGTGTGAAGTATTTAGCAATGGCATACAGATGAAGGAACTTGTAATCACAGAACTCACCTTATGTCATAGAATTTTTGTAATTTGTTAAATTACTGCACTCAACTGATTTCAGCACGTTTCCTAACACATCCACAGGGTAAGAAATCCACTACAGAATATTGAGTGCAATGTTTTGTACCAACAAGATCCCTTTACTTTTCTATATACTTTTCGTAACTAATATTCAGAAAAAAATCACATTGCATCTCACGTGCAGCTGGATAGCAGGGTGCTTGATCCCCTGAGGTCAACCAAGCAACACAAGTGGCAATCAGTCACAGATGAAGCAACTTCACTTTCCCTAAGTCATACTTTTTGAACAGATGTAGCTACAAGACATAATGCACTGCAAAAACATACACTAGGACACAAATAGAAGCCTGAGACCTGAACTTCTTACAAACAGACCACACCCTTTGAGTTTGTATAAATATGCAGACACATTTTCATTAGTTGGTCAAACAACATAACTCAATACCCTCCAAAAACAATCTAGCCCACCTTCAAATACTAGTTACTATAATTTTACTTTCTTGATACTTTAGTAGGACTGAAGATTGTCCCCAGAAATGGCTCCAGAACACGCAAAGCCATTTGAATTGGAAAAAGAAACAAAAAACAAGCAACACCCAATAGCACTGATGACTACAAATTTTGATATACTCTTCAGGAGAAAGGTAGGATGAAATGAGCTTGCCTTTCAGAAACAGGCACATTCAGCATCAAGTCATTAATTCATCTTGTTATTCTCCAGCAAGCAGAAACAAGTCAACCACTAAAAGGTCTGGTTCTAAACTGATGAAAAAAGAGAAAGAGTATACTTTGTGGCATAAATCATGATGGAGAAGGCTCATTAATTAATAGTAATGTGCACTGTACTCCTCATAAAAAAGTGAGAAATATTTCAAACACAGGACTGTGTGGAGACATTTTAGGCAAGAGATTTTAAGAGAAGATAGCCTAGAAAATGAAATATTGCCAAAATTGCAGTAATTAACATTGCTGAAAATTAGAACTTTCCTGTTCATTAATAAAGGAGGTGCCTTCTTCCTAATAATAATAATCAGGAGATTCTGAGTGCATGATTCCTATAAATTAGTGAAGCAAAGCAAATAAATGTAGATACTGGGTGTAGGGATGAAGCAAGTCAAAGGTCTAAAGAAGATGAGCCCATTAAGCCTCAATATTAAAGATAATAAAAAGTCTGAAACAAAAGTCCTAAGATAAGCATCTCCCAGATTATTTGAATGAGAATCTAAATAACCTTACTTAGCCCGGTTTTCACAGTGAATCTAAAACATGCTATTGTCACTGGAGTTCTTCAAATGCAGCATACGGTATCTCAATCATGGCATCTATACTGTGCTCAAGATGGAGATTATATTCTACCTTAGACAAGAGAAAGTGTACTAACTATTGGCAGGAGATGACAATCCTGTTAAGAACTACAAGGTTAAGAATCGTCTGCTACTCAAGAAATTCCATTATTTTGCAGAATCACAATTTAAACATTTTTTAAAAGCTGAGCAGCTAGTATGATGATGAAATAAATAAGTCTGACAGTCATAAACAACAGCCACATGGAAATTCAACCGAAAGTCACTGTGGTAAGTAACGTAAGGGTTTGGTTTATTCTAGACCTTTTGTGACTTGATTTCACAGAAACAGAGCTAGAGAAAACTCCATTTCAACAGAGAACAGCAAGTGAAAAAATTTCTGTTCTGCTATTCCTTTAATAAAGGAAAGAGTTGGTCTAATATTTTTTTGTAAGCCTCCTGTTTGGTGATCACAATAGTGTCCCTATCTATTCAGCTTTTCCTACCTGATGCCAATTTTCAACAATTGATAAAGAATTTAAATTTTTGAAAAAGTCAGTATTAGTCACCATTAATTTTGGAACTGACAGGCCCTAAATCCTAGCCATCTCTTCTCACGTGGGAAATTGCTTGCAACAAAGATTCTAAAAAGATTAGCAGAAAAACTCTCAGAAAAAGTTTCTCTGCGTTTCAGGAAAGCTATGTCTGAAGTTCTTTGATAATTTCATTCTTTTCATTTGCTTTTGGGATATCAAGTCAGAGAAGTTTTTGTAGTCTGTGATAAGATGGCAGTGATCCTTTGGAAAGGACTTGTTGATGCGCCTTGTAAAGACATATTAAACTTGACTCTGCTGGACCTTGTGATTGTTCTTCAAACTGAAAGGACATACCCAGCTGTGACTTCCGTTTACTGCTGGAAGGATTTGATTACCACTTAAAAGAACTCTATGCCACTGAACTGTGGATAATTGGCACGTTTATTTGAAGTCAGGTGATAGACTCCTTAACCCCCACAAATACTAAACAGTGTTAAACATAAAGCCTACTAAAATCCAAACTAATACAACTTGAAGAACTATTTATATAAACTAATGTATGGAAAGAAATCAAATTCCTTGATATGGATATATTTACATGCTCTCATCAAACATTTTCTGAGAGAAGATGGCAGCAATGTAGTAAAAAATATACACAAATTCTAGCACTCACAAATAATGAACTGATACGTGATACTCCCAGTAGGAAGAAGATAATCACCCAGTAATTTCAGATATGATAGGTATAATTTTCCTCTTCTCAATGTAAAACATTGAACATTTGTTAAAGCCTGTCACTTTGAAGCTTCAGAGAATGGGGTGGAACCTAAGTGCTGGATGAAGGAAAAAGGGACTCATTAAATAAAAATAAATTAGATATATTTAATTCACAACTTCAGGGAAAAACAAAAAGACCTTTAACACTTGTAATTCAGATTAACAAAATGACATGGTTTGCAATTGCTTTATGGTAGGTTACAGCAATGGTGAACAGTCAAAAGAAAGCAGTTTAACCAACAGCTGCGCAGTCTGTAGAATTTTGAGGTTCCTGCATCACATGCCAGTGAAAAGAGGACCTATATTTCCTGACTATATTATGACAGTTGAGATGAGCCATAATAAAACTTAAACTCATAAAAGAAGATTTATTACAATTGATAAAAGTATCTGTGTGACATATGCTAATTGGCTGGCAACCATAACATACTACACAATGCTGCACTTCCCAGTACAGAGCTATCTGGTTCACATATTCTTTTAGATCTTTGTACCCAGCTGCAAAATACATATGCAAGTGTCAGGACTGTACTGTATGTCATCTTACACTAACAAAGAGGTACATGCCTGATGCACCCATAGATACTGTTTACTGAGAAGAGGGTATTTTTTAAATATTGATCACCAAGGAACCTAAATAAAGTTATAAACATTTTTCTTCTAAATATGCCACAAGAAAATGTTTAATTAGTTAATCATGGGATAAATTCTTTGTTAGAACTCATCCTTTGAATTCTTCCGAGAATGTCCTCTCTCAAACTGAAGCACTCCTTCAGCCAGGGGGAAAGAAAGAATGTAGTATACACACAGCTAATGAAATATCAAACTCATCTCAGTGATGGCACAGACATGTAACAAGTACTTAATTAGCTACCTTAAAAATGCATTAAAAGCACTTACTTTTAGGAAAGTCTCTGCATAAAACCAGGACAAAAACCTTTAATATACTTAACTGCCCTTCTCAGAAAATAGACACATGAGACTACTCGCTGTTAATTACAGTTATCAGGCACAGTCAGGCAGGTTTCCTTCTGTTAGAAAGCAGAGAGGATTGACCAAGAAAGCTCACTTTCAAGGTAAGACAGATCTGCTAAGCTGCTCCATGTCATTTACTGGAGCTGCTGCAGGACAAGGAGCACCAAAGTATCTCAGCTTGCTTGTCTGAGGGTGTGAAGCTTTGCTGCAGTGAAGTTCTTTTGGGCTCTCCTGGTGAGAGCTTTAGCTTTTTGGAGCATACAGCAACACCTGAAAAACACTGATGTTTATATTGAAATTTTCATCTCCGGATGTTTTCCAGATGGAAGGGCACCTCCACAGCTCCTAGACTGTACTGGTTGACAGTTTCTTAATGCAAATGCTAGAGAGACCAGGTAGAAGTAATGCATCATTTCATCTCCTCGTCATAGACAGTGAAAACCTGGCAATGAACGCAGCCATGGGCAGCAGTTTGCCTTGCAGTGACAAGGTAACTGAACTCATTTTCTGATTCTGAGGAACGCTGCACAGTTAAACAGCAGCTAGGATTCTAAACCCCAGGAAATGTTTGAAAACTTCAGCTTCTTCAAGCACCTTCCATTCTGAATTCCCAAGGAGGCTGTCATTAGAAAGAGAGATACCCAGGAGGGCTGGCTGTTTTTAAATAACTTTTATTTAGACGTCAAGAGCTAAGCAGCCTAATGTACAGGGAATTCTGTCAGAGCTGCCTGGGACTGTCTTGGTGCAAAAGCTTCCTAATTAATACACAAAAAGAGAACATACTAGAAGTGGAAACAAGGATGGGAAACAAAAGGATGTTAAATCACTGCTCAGGCTCCTAGTGATCCCGTCAGGAAGGCCAAAGCACAGCCAGAGCTAAAACTAATGACAGACTTAGAGGGGATTCTACAAGTAGACCAGTGGCTGCATAAAGTTCATAGAAAACACAGACCAGCTAATGAATGAGGGAGACAATTCAGGAATAGATAACATCAAAAGGCCTGAAGTCCCAATGTCTTTTTTGCCTTCAGAGGCAGAGGCTTAAGTTAGATGTCCAAGTGCACCAGAGTGATTTAGGAAGGAGAGGTATGACCAGCAGTCAGGAAGCAGCAGGTTAAGGTCTACTTACAAAAACTGGATGCATTCAAATCTACGGGCTAGGTAGGATTCACTAAGCTGAAAGCTACCTCCCTAATCACAGAGGTTACACAGGTGTCTGCCTGAGCAGAAAAGGGCTATGTGTTATGCTCAGCTTTAAGGACAAGAAGAATGGCTGGGGCCACTACAGCTAAATAGCCTCCCCTAACTCCCAGGAAAGACAACAGAACATTCTATGTCCCTTGGAATCAATGTCCAAACAATAAGAGGGAAAAAAAGGGAATCAAGAGCAGTCAACGCAGATTTACCAAAAGCAAATCATGGTTATTTACCAAAAGCAAATCATGGTTAAGGCTGACAAGTGCCACTAATAACAGCCTATACCATTTGAATGGCAATAACAGATAGAGCCAAATTCTTCCTAGTAGTGGCAAATGGTGTAACAAAATGCATCAGTCGCAAGTTGTTTGGGAGAACATTAAGAAATATTTCTTCACAAGGTGAATTATGCAGCATTGATATGGTTATTTAGAGAGGCTGTGGAGACTCCACACTTGGAAGTTTTCATAGCTCAGCTATTCAGAGCTGTGGCTCAACCTGTTGCAGTGCTGGCAATTAAACAGCCTCATACATGAGGTTGGCTGAGCCAGATTCAGGCATCCCTTCCAACCAACCCCTCTGGAAGTCATTTAAACAGTCTGACATACTGTAGGATGCTAAAGATTGGCAAATACTTTCTTCAGGAACAATTTTTCGAAGTGTTCACTGTGCAAAACAATGGCGTGACCTGGAAGAAGATAATGGGACATACCCCCAGCTCACATCTAGCCTGCTTCAGCCAGTGGTGCTTACACGTCCTCGACAATCACATAAGAGAACAGAAAAAGGTCTCAGTACAGTAGGCAAAATCATTCTGTTTAAAGTAGCAAAGGAACAAAGAGGTGCATTTGTGGAGTAATGCATTATCCTTGCAGTGTTGTAAGCATTTCCTTCCCAACAAATGCAGGGAAATTCATACCACTGATCCCTAAGTTGCATTCAATCTTTCCAGTAAACAGTGAAATAGTGGAGTTCAGCTGTCTGTCCAACATTTACAAAAACCTCAACAGAAAAACTGCTTTTAAAAAGACATTTCTCAACACAGAACTTCATTACTTAACATTTTTCAGTAAACACAGATGTCAATTAACCACTAACTGGTTACTGTTCATCATATTAGTTACTATGATCCCCAGAGAATATCAATATGCACTTGCCATCTTTTCCATAAAAACAGACCACATTCCCAGCATCTAGAGAATTTACCTTGCTTCTTAAACTGTTCATACCCACAGATTTGAATTGTTTATACAGTTTTGAATTACAGCAATGAGCAGTGCAAGACAAGCACCAAAGGAGAGTTAAACGTACTAGAATTTGTGATAACTACTTGGCTGTGGATGAAAAATCATACCTACATGTCAAAAAAAAAAACAAACAGAAAAAAAAAGTATTCTAAAAACCAAAGTGTAAAATAATTCCTCACAGTACACTCCTAAATTCTGCAATATACATATCACCTTTTCCTCTACAGACATAAAGCTTTCCTATCAACATCTGAAGTTTTTTTTTTTTTAATTCTTTTCCATCATTGTAAGCATCATATATTGGCAACTAGCCACTACAAAGATTCAACACCTTCTTTCTTGCATGTCTACTTAATGAACCCAAACACAGAACATTTTTTGCTGGGGGAGACCTGTGTACCTACATGGAAGCTCAGCAAGCTTCACTTGCACTAACCAGCTGCAGAATGGGGGGCAGGCAGTAACAGAGCTGTCTCAGCAAACAGCTCACAATCCACAAGTGAACAAAAGCAACAGATGCTGCTGAAAGAAAATGCTCCTTCTGCCATTATTGTTTTGTAATGGGAATGAAAGTAAATAAACAAATAAATTGTCTAAACAGAAAAATCCCATAATAAAAACAAAGCCTTATTATTGGAGTCTGAGATGATTTCTCATGTAACATTTTTGCTTCAGCCCAACTTTTTAAAAGTTACTACTGTCCATTAAACTTCAGCCACAAAAAAAAAAAAAGCAAAAAAAAAAAAAAAGACTAATGCTGGAAGCTTTCCATTTTCTTTAAAGGGAAAGTTTAACACTAACAGCTAATATACCTCTCTCCCATTTCATTTCAAAATGCTGTAAGAGTGCTCTGTTTAACTTCTTTCCTCTGGCAATTAAGCTCCTTCACCAAACAACCCAAACCAAAAGAACTTTATAACCCTTAGCTGATACTAGACTTGGGAAAAATGTGTTCAAAATAAATTTTCCTCAGAAAGTAAGTGTACTGGGCCTGACAGAATCACTGATACATCCAGCATCATTCATACACCAATGTTTTAGAAGCATTGGGAGCATAAGACAACCTGAATAATCTCTTCTGAGTCAGTTTCAAAGAGATCTACTCCCTAAGTGAGCATTCTACCAAATTTCAAGTACTTCTACTCACTGTGCCACGGAGGGCACTACGGAGTTAGGAGAGCTAGGCCCAATCCAAGAGGCTGTGTGCACTGTGGTACACCAACAGTTGCACTGCTTCAGTTTCAAAGCGGCGCAGCCTCATCATTAGAGTACCACACCCCATCAATAGTCTCATTCTGAGCAGGCTGTGGTGACACACGTGTGCTGCGCCAGCAACGCCACCCTGCTCGGGGGGAGGAGAGGAGCATCCTCACCCTATGGGGTGCTGAGAAGAGCATCCACAGCCTCAGACATACCCAAGTGGCAGAGAGGTATACCCCAGAAATCACCGAGCATTCCATGCAGCACACCATCAGTAAACAAAGCACTGCACAGAGGTCTAAGGAGACATCAGTTGAAACTAGCAGGGGTGCCTCTTACAAAGGACAGATGTGCTGTGAGGTACTTACAGGTGTGGAGGCACTCCGTGACCGTGGTGGGCTTGATGAGATAGCCTTTGCAGATGTAACAGGTGATGTGAGGATTGAAATCTTTCACCAAGTGCTTCCTCTGCGCAGCCATTCGTGGGGCAGGACAGGCTGCCGGATTGCCGGGGGTCAGGGAGCGGATCCGGGAGGTGCTGCTGCCCGCCGTTCAGGAGAGCTGCGGTGCCGCTCTGCGCAGCGGGACTTTTCCAGGCATTTGCTCGCGGTGCGGGAGCTCTCAGGGGGCCGCGGCTCGCACCTCTCGCCGCGGCGTCAGGCGAGCCATCTCGGGACCTGCAGCACACGTGGAGGCACAGCCGCGTGAGCCGGCGGTGCGGGCCGACGCCCGCTGACACGCGTCGCCATCGGCCTGCCGGGCGTGCGGGTCGCCGTTTATGTAACCGCGGCGGCCGCTCCGCAGCCGAGCCGCGGCCCGCCCCGCCGCCCTCCCAGGGCTTCGTCCGCCGCGGGGTGACAGGTGCAGCTCCCGCCCGCCCCGCCGGGGCCCGCGGCCGTCTCGCCGCCCGCCCGGCCCCGAGGAGGCACGACGCGCTCCGCAGGCCTCGCCGGGCCCCCACGGGGAGGAGCCGTGCCCTTCCTGCCCCCCTCCTCCCCCCAACCCCCTCCGCGGCCCTCCGGACGGGGCGGCCCGGCCGCGGGCGGGCTCTCCCCGCTCAGCCCGAACTCCCGTCCCGCCCCGCCCGCGGCGCCCCCCGACCCTCGCCGTACCTGGCGGAGCCCCGCGGCCTCGGGCGGGCAGCCGCCCAGCGAAAGAGAAAGGGAAACGGCGTGCGCCTCCCGCCCCCTCCGAGCGCTCCCTCCCTCCTTCCCTCCCCGCCGGCTGCCGCGGTCGGTCCCAGGGCGGGCGGGACGGGCGCGCAGGCGCTGCTCCCCGGCCGAGCCCTGCTGCGCCACCGCCCGCAGCGCCGCGCCGGGAGCCGCCCGCAGCCCCGAGCGGCCCCGCGGGGGCCACAGGTAAGCGCCGCAGCGGGCAGCGAGCGGAGTGAGAGCGCGGCCCCTGCCTCGGCGGCACCTAGTTGCCCGGTTCCGGCCCTTGCGGAGTTCCTAAAGGTCCTTAAAGGCGACCTCAGCTTCTGCCCGTGGGGAAGCGACGCTTCGGACCCTTTCCCTGCCCTCGCCTTCCCTCTCTCGAACTTTCACGGAGAAACAGTGAGGCGCCGGACCAAGTTAGGCCCCCCGCCTCCAACCAGCCGGGGAAACGCTAAGCACGCGTGAAAGCCGTCTCTATGGTCAAACCCGTCCGCTTTCAGCACCCAGAACGCTCCGGCACCAGGAAATTCTTCATAAAACCAAAGCGGCCTTAATGGTCTTTTTCAACTGCGGTATCTCTAGAAAATGTTAACTCTCGTAAAACACTAAAGACAACAATACGTGGAGTCTTTTCCTCTGTTAGCTGCGATGTCCTCGCCCTGCCTGACACCGCACCCGGGCCATTCTGCAGCGGGACGCTCCGTTCCGCTCCCCTCGGTTTCTGCCCCCGGCCGTGCCCTCTAGCACCCAGCTGGCAGGCCGGGCCGGGGGCAGAAAGGCGTTCTCGTTAACGTTTCGGTGCCACGGTGAAAACGCTACAAAACGGGCAGCATCGACACAACGACACCGAGCGTAATCTTGCTTGAAAGTCGAAATTGGAGAAAGCACTGTCCTGAAAGGTGGCAAGATCATTGTTAAATGAACACTGCTCCTTTGAAAGAACAGCTTGTGAAGCATGTTACTAGGAGAGAATGTAAGCTGTTCTTCATGTAAACATTTTACTTAGTAGAAGGGAGTATTTTAGTCAGCAGTTGCATTCTGGCAGTTTAGCAGAAGTTGACAATTTCAGAATGAGCGTGAGTGACCCAGCTTGGACTACACACACATTTATAACAAACATCTGCCAATGCTTTCCTGGCTGTTTCAACATGACTATGGCTGGTTAAGACTTGCTTTAAAAATAAACTGGATTCTAAGTTCAATATTCCAAGACACATTTTATCAAATCTCACTACTGAAAAAAAACCCAAAAGACATTTTCTTAAATTTATCAACAAAGCTCATGTTTACACAGTAATGGATACACAATGTTCTATCCAGATAAGAGTCCTGTCTCTATGCTGTCGTGTCGCCTATAGAGCAGTAACTGTGCAGCATTTAAGGTGCTGGCAGATATGCCCCATTGGCATGGATTCCCTACATACCTTTCTGAAGGGGCACCAGTCACATCCCAGGCAGAGGGCAAATGACACTTTCTTGCTCCATCTCCTTAAAATTTAGGAGGTTGGCCCTGCTGATACCAGGCTGTATTTATGAGACACTGAATGCTTTTAACTCTGAAAACAAGGCTGAGGCACTTAGCACCTCTTAAGACCACAACATAAAGCAGAAATGGGAAGCACTGCAAAATAAGCTCTTATTTCATTATCTGAGAAAAGTAGTGCAACAAAAATATTTTGATACTTGCTCCTACTTTACATCAGGAGGAAAGAAATTGCATTAAATGCTTCTGAATTTATTGTTATTTCAAAAGTAGTTAACTCCCAACATTGCATCTACCAGGTGTAATAAAAGCACAGGGCCACAGAACCGATGTGAGCACTTGGATTTACTTAATGCAGTTAGAAGGTAATGGTGCAGTGTTTGAATCAAAGTGGTCGTTTTCAGGTTAAGAGTGAAACAAAATTAACAGAGCTAGTTCTGGTAAATACATATTGTATATTTACAGCAGCAAATGTGCTGCAAAGCACACTACAGCCCTCAAGACAGTGATGAAAATACAGCTCGTTTCTCTGTGTGTCTTAAACCTGACTTTGCTACTGACTGACTTATACTCGCTGCCCTCTAACACAGTAATTACTTATTTTTAATATAAATCTATTAAGCCCTTTACATACATGAGCTGGTCTAACAAAAAAAAGGTTTTGTCTAAGCATTATTGAAAAAGGAGTGGTTTATTGAAAGCCTTGAACAACTGCTGAATCATCCCAATGCAAAACAAAGTAATTCTTTACATTTGATATGAATAAGTGCTTAACACAAGAGAACTTGAGAACTCTATGCACTTCATTATTTTTACTCATTAATGCAACTCTGACATTTTTGAAAGGTACCTACATTTGATGGGAATTTAAAGACTTTCAAAACTTGAGAACGTCACAGAATTGCTCAGCTTGGAAGAGATCTAGTACAAGCCAAGGAGGGCCAGCTACAGACAGCTGTTCAGGACTGTGTACAGCCACAGTTTTGTGTTTCCCCACAGGCAGAGACTCCACAATCTTTTGGGGTGACCTACTCCAGTGCCTGACTACCCCTTTTGTGTTCAGATGGAATTTCAGGTCCCCTATCAGTAATCACAACAGAGAACAGTTTGACTTGCTCATCTTCATTCCTTCCAATATTTATACTCATTGTTAAGATGTCCCAGAGCCTTCTCTTGGCCAAAGGGAGCAGGCCCAGTGCTCTCAGCCTCTCCTCATACATAAGTTGCTCCAGTTCCTTACTCATCTTTGTGGCCCTGCGCTGGACTCGCTCCATATCTTCTTTTTACTGAAGAGCCTGGGCCTGGACACAGCACTTCAGATGTGTTCTCACAAATGTTGAACATAGAGGAAGGATCTCCTGTCTTGACCTGCTGGCAGCTTAAGTGAAATTACCACATATTTACTCAGGTACAAAAAAAAAAAACAAACAACAGATCTAATGTACTGGCATTATTTTGGCTTCAGAAGCAGTTCTTCCATCTAGTATAGTCTTGCACAGTGCCATAACAGCATTTTTCACAAATAACTGATTAGTTGTGACAAAATGCAGAGGGGAGTTTGCTTTGAACCACTGAAGATTGCAACAGCAGGAAGGACACTAGATGTGCATCCATTTGCCCAGGCACTCAGTTTCAAAACAGTGATTTGAGATGGGGTTAGGAACTGTTAGCAACTAAAGTACTGGTGGTATACTTAATCTCTCCTGTTTTGTATTATGGCAGACTACAGTTTTAGTGGACTTTGATCTCCTATGCATCATCTTTAATTTCCTACAGGATACCGAAAAAGTGTTTTGTGGCTTGTGGTATCTTCTGTAGAGTGAAATGGAGGAGGCATTATTTGACAGTTGTCTGTGATTGTGGGGAACCACAGAATGACCAAAGTAGTCCTTTATAGTCCTGAGTTTGATATAAGCTCACATCAATTCTGTGTAAAGTTGAGGCAAGTAACGGTCACTCATTTTGATAACGGGTTTAAGTCATAATTTGAAATTATCACATCAGCTGTGAACCAGTTGCTCTCCATGCACAAAGAATTACTCTTCTGGTTTCTGTTGGCCAGTTATTTTTCTTCCACTGCTTCTTAGTCTTCCTCTGAATTCATGGCACTCACTTCATGCATTGCCATTGATACTACTGTATACTCAAATACTATTTCTCTACCTACACTGCTGTCTGACTATATGCTTCTGCCCATTCAGTTTCCTTCTATTCTGTTCTCTACAAGAGAATCGAGTGCCTACTCTGTGGCTTTTCCAGAGAAAAGCTACTCAGGAATTAATCTTATCTCAAGTCTTCCTACTACTGCACAACAGTGAAAAGAGACGGAACATTAGTCCATGAAAATCAGTGACATTATTAGAAACACTGAAGCAGTATAACATGCATAGGACAGCATGAACATGGCTGCTGTCTGCACAAGCAAGACTGTCTCCTTTGTAGATGTCCAGGATATGTTGGTCATTCTCCATATACGTATCCTTGAAGGCACAAAGTCGTTCTCTGATCAGTTCTTTCCCCACAATACTTCCTAATGACTATTTGCTATATTGTAGTTTTTAATCCTTGTTTCAGCCAGCATTATGTTTCTTCCACTCTGTACTCCATTATATGTACGGTATCACACATATATTATACCGTTTCCAGTATTTGTTCCCTAAATATATCAAAGCCACTCACACCACCATACTCTGCAGCTCAACTAAGCAATTACATGAAGCATTCAAATACCTTTAAAATAGCCTCATCTTTCAGTCTCTGGGAGATGGCAAACAAACTCCAATGGCTCCTGCTGAAATTGTTACTAACAGATTTTGTTTCTTACAGTTGAAAGCTGGCAGAAATGCAAATCAAATTGTATCACACATGTCAAACAGCTTCACAATTATGCAATCAACTTGCACTGCAAATTAAAAACAAGACTTGCTACTAGATCTTAAGTCAAAGCAAATTTGAAACTCCAAGAAGCTCAGCAGAAGCAATCCTCGAGAAAGCTCCTCATGCCAGTTATAACGGCAGAACCAGCAAACAAAGCAATAGAGAAGGAACAACCAAATTTCCTCATATTTTACAAAACAAATTAACAATACACAAAATGTCTCAGGGTTGGTTAAGTAAGTGAAGCATTCTATTTCAATTTTCAACAGGAGTTCTATTTCCAGCCCTCTCAAGAATAAAACCTCTAACTGAATAACATATTATTGGATAGACTACATTTCATTTGCACTGTATGAGAAGACTCATTCATGGTAAACATCATTTTGGTACCAATTAAAACAATAGACTTCACCAAAGGAAAACTAATACAGGTATTTGTGAATTTCATTTTTACTTCTTAAAATAATGATTTTTTTCCCCTCAAATTAAGTAAAAATAGGGGGTAGGGGAAGGCACTCCAGCCCTAGCTTCATATACTCACATATCCTATGTTTTTTTTAACAGGACTTTAGAATATATGAGTCAAGCTTTTCCATGTGTCTCTATCTAATCATATAACTCTGGTCACAGATGAATTTAATCTGAGTTAGATAAAAGGCATTAATTCCATAATTCCCCATATTTAATAAAAAATAGAAAGTCTTCCTGTATTTTGGATGTTTG